GACGCGAATAAATCAATGAGGCAATATTGACGAGAGCCTTGACGCGAGCTGCGTGCTATATATTTCAAATTGTCAGATGCAGCAATTGAGTGTCAGGTAAGAAGAAATTTTTGCTTTGAAAACGAAAGGCACGGGTGCTCTTGGGTGAACGAAGAAGCAATGACGTCTTTCGCATTTATGATAACAACAATGATAACTTTCTGAAGATTAACCATCCTTATTTTGATGTTACTTAGTTAAGGCCATATCTCACAGGTTTGGTATTCCAAGGATATCGCATGCAAAAGTTGAGTGGTTATGAAAATTTTGCACAATTTCATGACCAGTTAAATTCACATTTCGATAGAGTTGATAGAAGCAATCTACAATTCTATAATACGATTATGGAATTATGAATAATGATTATCAATAGTCTGAATCTGCGTGTATCGGCTGAATGGAGGTTTATGAAGATATGAAATGAGCTTCACTCTGAACCAATAAGTACTTGAAAGGTTAGACATATTCCCCAAACAAAGCACTTGGATTAAGCTCGCAAACAGAATACATGATAAATTCATCTTTTAACCAACCACACTACAAGAGAATCCAATTTTGTTACTTTTGTCTAAAAGATACCCTCTAGTACAGGTTAAGCGAGAAAATGCCAAAAGTTACTAGTGGCATTCATCCAGCGAAAAAATTGCTATCGGCAATAATTGACCTATTTAAAATAACGCAGAATTATTACCGAGCCGGAGAGAGAAGAACATCTGGTTTGGGAGTAGGGCGGGGTGTTGCATTACGACAAGCGTGAGAACTAGTGTATCTGGAGGCCCGAACCAACTGAATCTTCACGGCCATCTCATCTGTCATTTTGCGCTAAATTCCCCTACAACACTATCTCTAAATAGCCAAGAGGCACTTTAAACCGTTGAAACTAGTTCTAGCTTTGCTTTTGTTGACTTCATTTCACACTATCATTGACAGATCTGCAATGACCACTTAATGACGGTTTTATGAGCTATTCATCACATGAATTACTCTCGTGTATCCTGTTGGCTGACGAGTAACGTGGCCTGCGAATTGCAGTGACTGTTTGGGTCTATCATCTAAATAATAACTTTGTGGTCTAGTGAATGAAATCCCGATGGAAATGTCAATGTGGATGAATGAAAAAAATAACAGTGGGGCTGGGCGCTTAGCGGGAAGCTAAAGGGGGGCCAAGAAAACATTAGAATCAGTCTTGTTGCAACAAATGACATATCATGAAACAATTTGACGGCTAATTATATGATCGCGTGAATCTCCATCATATCTAACTAAACACAGATCTAGTATATATAGTGTTTGTTTGATGAAAGGAGTTAAATTTTAAGGTTATATTGAGAGTTGCCGAGAAGTTCCTATCTATTTTCCCGACACCTTAGTATATGATGATGTGTTTTAGCCCATAAGAAGGCAGAAATAACCGGTCGGTTCCTTTGTTTCCTTCCTTGTAAAGTTTCCCGTTGGCACCGGTTCAGTACTTGAGATTCTAATTAAATGTGCGCAGTTCAGTCATCTGACGCAACAATGCCCTTCTCTTTAACGTACAGAGAGGATTAGCATCGGTACCAAGCTTCTCTTTTCTCTCACCGGCCTTATACTGCGGAGTCTACTTTCTTACTCCCGAGACCCCCAGGTATAAGCCGCTTCAATCCCATCCAAGGAGTATTGATGGGGCTCTCACCGGTGAAGATGAAGACATCTATACCTTTATATCAGACAACATCCCCTAAGAGCATGAGTATTAAGGATAGTAAGCACATACCATACAACCAACCTCCAAACAAGCATCCAAAAAATGGCGCTACCATAGGTACCCAAAAGTAATAGTTTCCCGCGCTCCATACTTCGTGACCGTATCCAAGAAAGTAGCTCATCAATCTTGGACCAAAGTCTCTAGCCATATTAATAGCATATCCAGTTTCCCCTAATGAAGAGTTAAATATTAGTATCTTGACTATCTATAGTGCGATGAGTGAGTTCAAAAAATATAACTTACATCCAAAGCAAGCCCCAATACCGAAGATCACGAAGAAGAGTCCAAGTGGGGTAAGATTTCCAGAACCTAAATTACCATTGTCTTGTAAAGCGTAGATACAAAACATGAGTATCGTACTTGCGATGAACTCTGAAAAGAATTGTCCTGTTTTTGTCATAAAAGGGGCGGGGTAGGTACAGAATATGCCTGCAGATGATGTGTTGAGGCCCATAGTTCGAATGTTATTCCCCCCTTCGAACATATCAATGGCAGATTTATAGTTTGCTATAAGGATCAGCAGATTAGATCTTGGCTTTATGAAATCTTGGAAATGGCATACCATAGACCACGCCGGCGGCGCACATTGCTCCCAACACTTGCGCCAACATGTAGATGGGGAATTTGCGCCAGGGAAATTTTCGGAAGACGCAGTTTGCGAATGTCACAGCTGGGTTGATGTGGGCACCACTAACGCCTGAAGCATATACTCCAAGCATAACTCCAATGCTATTAAACCTTTTAGCCAGTAAACGTTTAGAGCAGGGCAAATACATACCCCCATCCCCAAGATATTGATTGATAGGAGCCTCTCTCGCCCGAGCTTAGGACTACTTGCGCAACCACACCATCTCCAAACAAGATCCTATTTGAATGTCAGTGACTATTAATCGAGCAAGAAAGAGGTTTTATATAAAATGGAGACTTAAGGCTTGGGTGGAGTCTCACAAAATAAATACACCAAAGAATTCCGAGAACGGTTCTCGCATGGTATGTCGGATACGACTCCACAAGAGGTCTGGCTTTGACTGTATCTCGAGTTCTTGTGGAATCTTATGATCAATTCCAGGACCATGTTCTGCATAAGCACCGCTACCTTCACTGGAGATCGTGTGCATGTTGTTTCCATCCAGCGTAGACTCGTGTGATGAGAGGTCTGGCGAGGATTGTTGGGATTCCATCATCCCCATGTGCTTGTCATTGCTAACGGCAGGAATGGGCGACCCTTGTTTATCTGGATTCATTTTGGTGAATTGAGAAGGTAAAGGCGTGGAATGGCGATTCTGTGAATGCAAACTTGGATATATGTGACGATGATGGACCTGCAAGAGATGGATACTGTTCTATATGTAGCTTGAATTCTTGGGTAATACCTCTTTGTATGATTCTTAGAGGCGGAAGACACCGCGTTGTAGCCGAAGTCACCACCCTTAATGAAATGAACATGTGAACAAGAAGTCTGTAATATTGGAACTATCGAAACGCAATTGCGAGTATGGTAGCATACCGAGGCAGTGATCTAAGCACAAAGGCTTAGAAACAAGCTATGTTGGCGCTTCTGAGTTGCACGAAGAGGCCAAGTTGCCGTTTTGGACAATCTTACCAAGGAAAGACTTGGCCGTCCTAGCCACCTATTTGAGAGGAGACACTAAAGCACCTCCATGATGCTCAAAAATCCTTCCTTGTAAGTGCGGAATGTATGGAAGAAAAATTGATTAGATAGCTCAGTTTGAATTACCCGAGAGATCGTCATAATAATAATTGTGAATTCAGCTGCATCGGAGTAATCACAGTGCGGGAAGAACCAAGGAATTGTAATATCGTGAGCATTTTGACGGCATGTATAACACGCCTTTATGCCGACAAATAGAAAGTGGCTTCACCACAGCATGCTATGATGAGCTCTGGGTGACCTCCAAAGAACGTAAGAGGGGTGGCTCATCAATGAGTTCGGTATATCCTTGTTGCAACCAGACAGTGGTTGGCGGCGCAGTCTTGGTCATTTGACTCCGCATCAACAATATCAATAGAGCATTTAGGTTAATAAAAATGTGAAATAAACGTTGTCTCTCCAGTCCACACTAAGTTGAAAGTAAGTTAGATGGTAGTTCAATAAACTATTATGACCTAACCAAACACACGTCGATCTCTTGACAAAAGTAGTGCGAGCTATGATGGCATTTTCAAGAATAATGAAAAGTGTGGGAGCGTCACCATCAACCTGTTAAACTTGTAATTCAATATCTTGCTTGTAAAAGAGTTCAACTTTCCAATCTCGGATGAATTCATCTTTTGCATATTCTCCTCGATGCAATCAATGGTTGACAGCACAAATCTCGTATTCAAAAGAATGGTTCTAAAGCGGTACTTCCAATCAAACCCCATCTTTCAGGTAGGTGTGGTCAACTTGACTACCCGACGGGTAGATATCAACTTATCCTAGTCTCGACTGTATGACTCTGTGATACTCGAAATCGTATCAATAACTTTCTCCGCATGGTATAGACCCGATTTACGGCACAGTACATGTAAATAGCTCCAGGAAGATCAGGCACGACGGTGTTGCCGATATCTATGCTGGATGGCTAAGTGCTTGAATTGTGATTGTAAATATAATACCTTGTTATTAAAGTAACGCCAGCATTTACACATTCGCAAATTTCACAAATGCATGGCGTTGTATTCTAGTGGCCCCAAGCTGATGGCTGACGGATACCCGAGCTGCTTCCGGAAGGCTTGAAGGACGTTTTGCTATGGAATTCACCACTGGCGACTTATCTCATAACTTGATACGTCCAAGGCTGCCCTTGTACATGTTGAGCAAAATTTCGTCCTAGGATTAATTTTCAACCATCATACAGCCCCCAGGCAGATGAACTTCTGGGATCATCGTTGTAGATGGTCTGGACTTTTGGACTGTCCCAAGCATTTGAGGTTCATGTCGTTGGAATTCTTGGTGGGGCGCCATGTGCATAACGATTCCTAAGATTTGAAAACGTTGGAAAATCCCTAATGCAGATCTAACTTGAGTGGGGTTGCTGACCCGTCTGTTCTGTTGGCGTTGGTAATCATTTGTGGGTTGCAATCATGGTCATTTGGCACTAAGGTCGGTGCTCTTGCATATGGCGAGATTGCGGGGTAGTGGATGGCGGTGCAAGAGCCGTCTCATGAACCGAGAACTTCACTAGTCTTATTTGTTCTAGAAGCCTTCAACCAACGCAGTACTAGGTAGCTCTGGCACTCCATCTTCACTTGAATTTGGCCTTTTCTATCAGTGGTTCTGACTTCTAAGCACATAATAATCGTAGAAAATAACATATCACAATTCCGAGTCTTGTTGGTTCAATTTCGTCACAATGAATGTGCAATTAGCAACATCTGGTGGTGTCCACGAATGCAGTGTGCCGATACCTACCGAGGCATGACGAGAAAACAAGCATGGTGCGAGAAATTTGCTTGGTGAAAAGCCTCAATGGGGGTAATCATCCGAGTTCTTAACGTCGATATATCGACCTGCATCTGCTGTACTATGTAAGAATTACCCTTCATTCCTTGTCGAAATTTTGCTACATCCCAGAGTGTCTTGACCAGGATTGTGCCCCTTCCCCCACAATCGCACTTTTCTTCTGGTTCTTGGGTTAGTTAAGCCGCTAGTTGAGATGTTGGTTCAATTCCCTGTAAATATTGACGGCATAGATCGAATGGTACGATTGTATCAAATATTCTGACGTCCGAGTGAATCAACCATCTAGCATGCAGATTTTGATAAACTGTGTAACCGTAACGTTACGCTAGTAAGTCAATCTGTTGGCCAATACCAAGATAATAAGACTTTGCTCGGCCACAAGATGTTAGCGGAATTGACCCCGCTCCTCAAGTACAAGCCATTCGAATTGACTAAGTTGATTCGTTGAGTTGGAGGTCCATTGAAGCATCACATGTTTAGAATATGGAGAAATTTTGTCCGGGCGAGGGGCTCTAGATGCCTTGCTCCATACATTCCTCTTCCATCGTGGCCACAAAAGCCAGAGGTTTTGGCACATTTATCTGCGAATAGCAGCATAATCAATATGGGTGACCACACTTCAGTTTCTAGCCATGAGTCCTTCGTGTCAGTGTCGAATCATGAATCTTTCATAGGTTCCATAGACCAAGGTACCACAAGCACAAGATTTTTAATCTTCAACAAAGACGGCGAGCCGGTTGCATCGCATCAAGTCGAGTTCTCTCAGATATATCCACAATCAGGGTTTGTACATCCATTGACACTGTCAACGCGTAGCTGACCATGAAAAGGTGGCATGAACATGATCCTCTTGAGATTATCGACTCGATAGAAGTTTGTATTGAAGGTGCCGTCAAACAATTTGAGCAACAAGGTCATTCGGCGAGACAGATTAAAGCCGTAGGACTCACAAATCAAAGAGAAACAACAGTCGTCTGGGACCACGAAACAGGAGAACCTCTAGCAAATGCTATAGTGTGGACAGATACCAGAAATCAGGCATTAGTCAGAAAGTTGAAAGCTCGACTTGGATCTAATCAATTGCAGGGTCTCTGCGGTCTTCCCCTATCGACTTATCATTCTGTTGGTAAGCTTTTGTGGTTGATTGAAAACAATGGCAAAGTTGCAGATGCATATGCTCGAGGTCATCTTGCGTTTGGTACCGTTGATTCCTGGGTTATCTATAAGCTCAATGGTGGACCAAAGAAGAATGTGTTCGTTACAGACCCCACGAATGCATCGCGTTCAATGTTTATGAATTTGCATACTCTCAAGTATGACGAACAGCTTTTAGATTTTTTCAGATTTGATATGGATAAGCTTCAGTAAGTTTCTTGCTCTTTTGTAATTAAAGTACGCACTGACTCAGTAGTCTTCCTAAGATTGTCCGGTCGTCGGATCGCGAATCCTTCGGTACTCTTGCAACAGGAATCTTGAAGGGTGTTCCAATCACGGGTGTGTTAGGTGATCAAAGTGCGGCGCTCGTCGGACAGAAAGGTTTCACACCAGGTAGAGCGAAGAACACCTATGGGACAGGTTGCTTCCTTCTCTACCATGTTGGCGACAAGCCTGTAATTTCCACACATGGGCTTTTGAGTACAGTCGCGTATGACTTTGATGGTAAACCGCAATATGCTTTGGAGGGAAGCATTGCGGTCGCAGGCTCCAGTATCAAGTTCCTTCAAAATAACCTTGGCTTCGTCGACTCTTCGTCCAAGATCAGTCAGCTAGCTGAGACTGTAGAAGATAATGGCGGTGTCACTTTTGTGACTGCATTCAGTGGGCTCTTCGCACCATACTGGTACGACGACGCTCGTGGCACTCTTTGTAAGATCCATTCCGACATCTATTAACTTAATTACTAACCACTTAATAGTCGGTATCACAGCATATACACAAAAAGGTCATATTGCTCGCGCTACTTTGGAGGCGACTTGCTTCCAAACAAAAGCAATATTGAACGCGATGGAAAAGGACAGCGGGAAGAAACTCGCTGAACTCGCCGTCGATGGAGGTATGAGTAATTCTGATCTCTGCATGCAAGTAAGTTCTATTGTACGGTTCTTTTCATTTTGGGCAATGTCTAAAACTGTTTCAGATTCAAGCCGATCTTATTTCGATCCCGGTTGAACGTCCAAAAATGCTGGAGACAACAGCATTGGGTGCCGCCATCGCTGCAGGTTTCGCAGTGGGGGTTTGGGAAACTTTTGACGAATTAAAAAATATCAATACTGTAGGGAAAACCGAATTCCATCCTAAAATTACTCCAGAAGAAAGTAAGGAAAATTTTTCTCGATGGACGAAAGCAGTTGAAATGTGTAAAGGCTGGCTTTAGAGATTGGAAAGTATATATAAGAAGTTTGCAGATTCTGGAAGCGTATCTAAGTAGTTTATATACCGTACCCGCGTACCTCAGATGTGGTCGCGGCCCTGTTCATTTGTTTGTCTCTTTTCACAAATTCCCACGAATAAGATCCTGCCACAAACTCATCACATGACTTGATGCATGTATATACCACGTGATTATACTTCAAGTGACCTTGAGTCTTTACACCTGAGTGCCAACATTCACTTTAGTTCCAATTTTGTGAGACGTACCAGAAGTACCACTTCAATCTCGCTGTCTCGAAGCATTTGCTTGGAAAAGTAATTGTGTCAAACAATGAAATTGGAAAGCCCAATTGAGCATTTATACTCCAATACCTTTTGTCAATTTTTTGATCCCACTCCAGGTTTCAAGGGAATGTGACTGAACTTTTGGTACAACTACCATCACTGGTTATTCCTATAAGTCATTTATTAGTCTGACTGCCGTGACATTGGAATTCAGAATGGTAATGGATGATAGGAATGCTTCATTTTCTGGGAATAGTTCAAAGTCATACTCTCATCCGATTCGGAATGATTACTTGGAGAATTGCTGTATGACATTTCAGTAGACTGCATGTATATTACCGAAGCTTACTTCCATATAACCAAAGAATGCGGCCAAAAATGTCAGATACGTTGTTTATGATATCTGAAAAGTTCGGCTGTCAGAGCATTGTTTGCACATTCTCCATCAAGTCTAATTTCATTCCATATTACTAGAATAGGTGTGATATATACAGGAACAAATAGTTGAAGTTAATGGTCATGTACCAATCATACAGTATGTCTCCTTTCCTTCACCGTTGTAAGTCCTTGAACACTTTGTTATGCGGCAGAAAGTTCGAAGTCTACATTGCCAGCATTCACCTTCGCTCCACCAATGCAAGTACTGGTGAAAGGACTATCTCCGCACACCGCTCTCGCTGCTCTCATACATCCTTCCCATCTACCTTTCGTGATATCAATTGTCTGGCCAGATGTAGCAGCATTGAGTTTCAAGAGAGCAGTGCCCGATTCTCCGGTTGTTGACGTAGGCTCGCCACCGCACTATTTTACAAAGTGTTAACGATTTGAGGCAGAGATAAAAGTAGGAACGAGTGTTTTCAAGCTCTCTTCTGCCCCTACTCTACCAATTCCAAGGATAAATTAAACTACTTATTCGTCTCTTCGACTTTTTATCCCGTCTGATCGTGGTGAGCGTTACGATAGGGATCTTGTGATTTAATCTCCAAAGAAAGCATGATGTGATCGGAAAATGATTCAAACTCAACTCGATATTGTCACTTGAAATATATGCATCTCTTTTTACCCTCTTATCCCAGCTGGCTTGTATCCTGCCATATCCTCGTAATGCTTCACACGTCTTTTCACTCTCCTCTCCTTCCCTTTAAAGAACTTTTTCTTTTCTCCCAAAATAGAGAAATTAACTCACTTGTTGAATAGTTCCTGCTATACCTCCACAAATTCCGAGAAGAGCCACGTTGATATCGTGAGATACAAGAGTTCTGGTGGGTATATCAGTACTTGATAGTCTCATTCTATAGCTGAACACTTACGTTGAAGGATCGGTACACGTTGTTCCTGTAACTGCATCGGGGTTTACAGTTGTAGATGCTGGAGCAGCATTGACGACAGCCATGGCTCCGAGGATTGCAACAAACAGTATTGAATGCATGATGGTTGTTATATTTTCCTGCTTTTAACTGGTGTAGTGATGATGAGTAAAATAATGAGATAAGAATATATACTAGTAATTAAAAACACTTATTATGAAAGACGTTCCAGACGTGAAAAGTAGATAAACAGCGAAAACGAGTATGTGAAAGAGGGAAGATATTTAAGACCAGGACAACAAAGAGATTATGGTTAGATCTTTGAGGGAAAGGTTTTATATCAATCATGTGCATATTCTTGAGACGAAAATTGTGATAATTTGATACCTGCCCACATGTCCACACACTGTAGTAGTGTGGGTGTATTTTTGGCTGTTCCCCCATATTGCCAAGACGACTTATATGGAAGAAAACCGACAAGAATTAAAGGTAAGCTAGATCGGTTTGATGCGAGTTTGAGCAGCACTTGAGTATACCTTGAACCTTGTTCAAAGATTCTGGGATTATATCTGCCTATGATCAGACGAAGCTCATGAACTCATAAGGAAGAATGCCATGCAGGATCAGATATATGGAAGAAAATGGCAATCCGGTATGAGTAAGGCTGAAGGAGGGGTTCTGGCAATGGATTGATCAGTGTCATCCAATGCAGTCCTTCATCCCATACCCTCCTGTGATGTTGTTGTCTTCGTCTCATGTTACCCGCTGTACATGTTCTGATACAATGACAGGGATGAGGTTATCCGGCGATAAGATAAGATGGCCCGATTGCTTTTCGATGCTCCACGCCACCATCAAGATACTACTGACATTAATAACTTCTTACATGAATTTTGGACATATCATTCCATTCTGGACAATGTCAACATTCACGATGTCAAAAAGCTAAGTTGATTGCCGATGTTTGTGGCCTAAATTGATGCATTCAGCCCTCCCTGAAGTTTTGGGGTTCAGGGGTGTCATATTATTGCTGCTTACAATTTCAGACGCGAGGTTTTTCATCTCTTGCAACAAGCGTATCATATTTTGGCACTTGATACATGTTCATCCCAAGCTACAATACCCATGACAATATTGAAAGACTTCTCATCGCTAAGACTTTCCGTCATAGTTCTCGTATCTCTTGCGTCTTCCCCAACAGCCGTACTAATATTGTCCTCCTTGCAATTTATCTTCGTTCTATCAGATCAAAAGGCCGGGTTACAATAGCCCTGCATTACCTGTTATCCTCTGATTCTTCTTGGGAAGAAACTGTAATACAACCTGTTCATATCTCCTGGAAGCCGAAACCATTAATCGAGATGGGTGAATCAAACAGGCTGATACAAGTTCAATTGACAAAATGCAAGTCTTGCTAGCAAATGAAATCGTCGAATCTGGTCAAGATCAAGTTGGGCTTACCATCCATCGTCGGCTCACGGCACAGACATGTCAGTTGAAATTCAAAGAGAAGGCATATATGAGTGATGATGCTGCCGTCATTGAGAAGTATCTTTTCATCATAAGTCTTAATCTCGACTTTCTCGATTCACCTTCTTTTTGTGCGCATACGTTCTTTCGTGATACTTACATTCTTTTTCGTGCTTTGATAGCACTTTCTTCATTCTTTCATCTGAACTTGCACGACTGCGTCGCTTTTACACACTGTAATATATATACCATATCTTTTATACTTTACATCCCTTTATTGCGAAGATACTTAAAGGCCGAGAAGCGATCGGTTAAGAGTTATAATGCGTTTTCAGTCAGTAGCTCTCGCCCTCTTTACTTCAGCTGGCCTGGTTGAAGGCCTAAGTGCAAAGAGACACCAGGATATCCACAAACGTGCCACGGCAACGAGCGGCGATGACACCAGTCTTACCCTTGCACAAAACGCCATCGCAAGCGGCTCTTTCAGTGACGGGCTTACTGAAATTGGTGGTAATGAAGCTTCCGAGGCCGCTTCTGCGACTTCGCAAAACAACTTCATAAACTTTTGCGCAGGAGAAACTCTTACCAATGGCCTTCAAATTGTAACAGGGTCTTGTAATGGAATCCGTGAGTGCCTCCCTATCTCTAAGTCAAAATCTACTCATTTGCCTTTCAGCGATGGGTCAAATTCCCGCGAAGAACAAAATGATGTCGTCGATCATTACATTCCCTTTGGCTGGTAGTGCAACGATAAAATCTGATACAACATTCAATATTACTGTCCAAATGTCCAACATCACTCCAGGTTCCTTTTCTAATGCGGATTCCACTTACTTCTCCGCTCCACAGCAGCTTGATTCATCCGGGGTAGGTCTTTTCACTTCACACTGCTTGACGTCGCTTAATTTCTAAATCCATCATTGTCCTTCTGATTTCCTCTGCTTTCTGGGCCATTGCTAATTATAATACTTCATTTTAGGTAGTTATTGGGCATACACACGTAACCGTGCAGGATATGGGGTCCAGTCTCAACCCAACTGGAACTTTGGATCCCACTCAGTTTGCCTTCTTTAAGGGTATCAATGATGCTGGAAACGGCCAAGGGCTTCTTTCTGCTACTGTTAACGGCGGCTTACCGGCTGGAAACTATCGTGTGTGTACAATGGCTTCGTCAACTAATCATCAACCCGCAATTATGCCTGTTGCACAGCGAGGTACAGCAGATGATTGTACTAAATTTACCGTCATCGGATCCGGAACTACTGCAAACGCTGCATCTAATAATGGTAAGTCGTCACTTCTTTTTTTCTGTCTTCCACTCATAGAACAAAAAACCATACTGACAATCTTAAGGTTCCGGTGGGCAAGCTGCCGCAGCTTTAGCAGCCAGTGCAGTCGCAGCTGGCCCGGACAACACCAACCCAGTGGCGAGCTCCTCCACAAGTTCGATAAAATCACCTTCGACTTCTTTCTCTGCAGCGAAAGCGTCCAAAACTAGCACTTCCAGCATCGCAAAAAGTGTACCTTCCATTACATCATCATCGGTACCTGCCTCTAGTAGCACATCACCTGCCACTTCATCTTCCGCAGGCTCCTCGACTTCCGCACTAGGAGGTATAGCGGCACCACCCGTCACCAACAGTGGAGATTCAGCCCGTCCTTTCTCGGTCAATGGCAACACATTTGTGAATGAAGCTGCCGCGTTGCAAAGAAGTTGCGATATACAGTACAATGCATGTGCGGATGCATTCAATGGTGGAAAAACAAATGGTTTTAGCATTAGTGACTGTCAAACGCAAGAGAATTCATGTCTAGCTGGGTAGTGTGGCGGTCTTGAATGAGGGTTATTTAATGGCTCTCATGATTACTTATGTACGACAGAACATTGATGGCGTTATGAGATGATATCACTGGAGCTAAATGGATTATGTGTTCTTTTCCTCATGTGCAGAGAAAATCAAACAATCGAATGACGTTTTTAATTTGATTGGACATCTTTTCAAAACATTTCATTCATGTCTGAAGTAGTTGTGAAGTCTATCGGCACATGAAGATCGGCTACGGGCATGCAAGTCTCATGGGCATAAATAAGTATCGTAAAAATCGCTAGTGGATCCTGAGCCATAGTCTTAATTGATCCACACATTTCAAACTGTTCGTCGTGCTTTCATAAGCCTTATATCAAAAACATCAACACTCAAAATTTCGCGGACCATCAAACATTTTGACGACATCATGAACGGGACCTGGGTAACTGTTCTAATTCGAAATGACTCGCAAACTTGTTACCTTAAACTTTTCCCACAATTACAACAACAAAAGTCCCACTGCAGAAACAACAGCCATCACGACCCATCCGTATAACTGGAATCTCGTCGCCACATTAGGTACCCCGCCAATAGTCTTTCTTTCCACTTTCGTTGCATTTGCTTTCAAACAGCTGAGACGCGCCGTTTGAATACCATGTGCTTCATTACGCTGTACAATCAGATTAGGCCAGACTTTAGCAACAACTTTTTCGTAGAAAGTTGTATTACTCGCATTGTGAACCCAGGATGCACTGAAGAAATATCCGCTTCCATCAGCATCGCTTCCATTGAGCCCTGGGATATTATTAGAAAGAAAAGGGAAACAGGGGTTCACTAGACGCTAGAAGAAACATACCACTTCCGTAACTCCTGGCAATTTAATTATCGCAAGTCGTGTGGTTTGATGGTGATATTGGATACCGCGCGGATACGTTTGCCAAACCGGCATTGTTCAAGTATTCTTATACACATGTCTCGCCTCAGTGTTGCATGGCAGTTTCGTGTATCTTTTTGTCCAGAAACGATTACATTTCTATTAAAGATTCGAGGATAAAGATAGTTGTAGTCCCATATTAAATCTTCTACTCGGTTTCCAAGAGCGTTGATTCCGATTACAGAGTTGGTGATGACGTCTGTTGCTCAAATCTCAAGAGGATAGATAATACGAAGTTCCAGAATTACTGACAAGAATGTTTTGAACAAAATCAAGATTGGCTCTTATGTTGGATACTTCAAGGTTTCACTATTCTCGTTGCGTTTTGGGGAAGTACTGACCTCTCAGAAGGCAACTATATCTTCAGCGAGACCAGCGCCATATCCAACATATGAGTAAATGGTATCATCTTTGTTAGCTATGGTCAAGGCAAATGTTGTACAAAGGCAAAAAGTAAAACATAGTAAAGAGCTAGGCCAAATTTCTAGATAAAATGACTTTTCCGGTCGTGAGCTCTTGTGCTCGGCGATCGAGGGAGTTTATAGGAACCGCGGTTCTATTTGAACATATAACTTAAACGTCTGGAACTCCAGAGATACCGCAGGTATCATTTACTCCGCATTCTACAAGGGGCTCCCTCAGCCCTCTCTGGTGTAACCTTACAGGATCATTGGAACTAGACGCTATGCCACCATCGCAACATGTTGGTAGCGTACTGTTCGTTTGACAGAGGATTGCTGAGAATTAAATAGTACAAAAATGAAACCTGTGCTCAACTATTCAAAAGTAGTTCGCTTTAAGCAAATTTGCCATACGACATTCGAGCAAAAATACACTGCCTCTGTCATGTCCAATGCCACAATATGACATCATTGAATATGACCAGAAAATAATAAGATGATTATGTCACATGAATGCCGTGCCACCAGCGCTGACAGGTGTATCTTTCTTCTCGAGGGTATGCAAAATCAAAGGGACAATCCATCACGCATGGCATAATGTGCGGGATCTATCAGACCCATAGAAACTGAACATCAGATACTCCATCAATCCCTTGGATTACCTATGCTACTACTTAGTATCCCTAAGTGGAGAGATCCTGGAGTGATGCTAACAGATCCTCGCGATGGTCGGTCACCCGTGCGGTAAAGCTTCTGTGTAATAGCGACAGAGGTAGGATATAAGACAGGTGGTTTTTCCAATATCGTTAGATCAGAAGGAGAGAAAATGAAGAGAAGCTATAGTAACAGTATGAATTTTATTAGAGTAATGAGAATAAAGTGGTTAAAATCGACGAATGTTTGATACAGATTAGAACAATTGAAAAGTAGTCTGAGAGAATGAATTACAGGAATTTCCAGTTTTGCATATTCATTTCTTCGATGAATAGAGAGAGAGAGATCTTATCATAAGTCAAATCATAGGAATAAATGATAAATTCGAAATTGCTCTTTGGTGAATAGTTCAGAAAGTCCTTAGGAAGAAAAAGAGAAAAAATAAAAGTTAAGTTTTAATCACATATACATACATACATACCCTCCCCTCTGAGAGGGAGTCGAACCCCAAAGATTTGTAACGAACAATTTTTACAATATGCAACAAAAACTATTGGGAAAAAAAAGAGAGCACATGAAACTAATAAACGGAAGATTTAATTAGCTACCAGCTTCGGAGTAATGTCGGGAAGTACGCACAAATCGAAATACCTTTTTTCTGACAAAAACAATAAGCCACCAAAAACTTTCCACATCGGATATATTCGCTCCGTTGTCTAAAATTTAACCTGAGTAGGTATCTAAGATATTAGGTAGATATATATATCCATATAACTACTATCCTGAGAGCAAAAGGATGCCTCCAAAACAAACAAAAAGAATGAGACATGAACTCAGATCTCTCTGACGGGGAGTCGAACCCCGGTCTCCCGCGACTTGCCAATTTGATGACAAGCGGAAATCATGACCGTTAGACCATCAAGATGCTTGATATTTGCTGTAAATGTCGAGAATGTTGAAATTATAAAGGTAAGATTTTGCCTCACACGGACCACATCAGAAATTTTTCGCCTCTTTTGATTCGATGTGTAAGCGAAAGAATCTTCATGTTAAAACTACGTGAGACGACAACCAAACACTTCTCAAGTCACACTATCTATCTATTGATATTGTAATTGATCTAATAAAAATGAAATCAGCTAGACTCATATGTTAGGAATACGGAACAGAGCGAAAATAAAAGTCAACCCAGAAGAGAAAAAGTCCAATTCAGTCGCGCCTGTCTGAATTCGAACTTTAGAACTGTCGTCCTAGCCTATTCTGTGAGAATAGTCCCAGGCTGGAGAAATAGGATGATGATATAAGATGAAATTGTGGAAATGAATGAATATCGACCAAAAATCCTATCATTTCTTAGGATCTTGACCAAACAATATCATTCATACTTTGATTTGAAAAGTTAGAATAAACCTTCCGGGAAATGAAGGATAGGACGAGAAGGTGTAGAAGATTTGACAGCGTGGGAGAAAAGTATAATATCTCGCCTGCGCTGGTCAATGGTTTGTCACTCATCCAGAATGCAGTGTCAGGTTGGAGTTAGCTTTTGTCCAAGTAAAGGTCTTGACTATCATGACGAGTTGTTCAAGCGAGTATCTACAACTTTAAGAAAGCAGGAGAATTCGAGCTAACTCCAAAATCTACTTATTCATGCATCTATTCTACTCTTACGGATACGATAGAGAGAAAATTATATCCAAAGATGATGTCAGCTGAGATATTATCATAGCGAAGGTCGTGGCCGAGGGGTTAAATGATAGCATTGGGCTTGTGTATAATGGCAAGATGTCAACAATTATACATGTTATGAGTTGGTTGCCTGTGCTATTTCTTGTATGTATCTCTTTTCCATTGAGGTTTCCGATCAACTATATCTAATATCCAATACTCAATTCCAAGATGAAATAGTGCCTGCGAAAGGCGGTCTCGATGGATAGGCTGAGTATGGTAACGGTTCAAAAGAATAGACGATATATAAAGAATTGGGGATATTTCATCAACTTTGTGGAAAATTTGCTGTTTTTGCTTCGTTTTGGGTCTCTAATGATGAGTTCCCTGAATCTCCTTTAGCTACAAAAGTTAGGATCCTAAAGTCTTCAAGAACGGCACTCACGAAAATTAATGGCAGCGATGATCTCAAACAAAGCTACCACCAATTTTAGATGTTATGTCAGATGGTGGATCATGTGCTTGACAAGAAACGCTGTAAACAGCAGCATACATCAAAGGAAATCAGTGTATTGTAAGTAAGTAGACACTCCAGGCATTACGACTTCCTTTCTCCCCTTTCACCTAATCCTTCACCTAACAATTTTACATTGTACCTACCGAAATCAAAATCCAATTCCACCCCAACCATACCAATCTTTCTCTAGGCCTAGATCTCTGAATTTCAACGACCATACTTTTATATATAGAGTATAGTAAAGCCAAAGTCATTCAGCTTATCTAATTTCCCATTCATGACATGAAAAGTGGATATTCCCCACTCGGGACGAACATACGGGGGTACTTTAATTTCCGCAATCTATCCCAGTCTACTTTAATATACTTTGCGAACTTTCGGGATGCGAATCACAACCGTTACCAACTTTATCTCCTTCATCCATATCCCCTCGGATTGAAACGTCCAAGACTGGCTGGTAGATTCTTCTTTGGCCGGAGACAATTGCCGGATCTACCCCCGCAAGCTCCTATTGTTATTGATGTTGTTTCATATAAAGGCACGCGGGATCGCAGAATTCAGGGTGTTATACAAGGTAGTTTGTTGGAATTTATTTTGGATTTCTATTCTCCCATATGGAGTTGTTTAAATGTTCCTAAACTTAATAGATTTTTTTGTCCTTAGCAATTATTTCATTTCTAGTCACTCTTGTTATTAGCAAATTGATCCATATCGGAATGGCTCACACACTTCATTTCCAACTTTTTCTTTTTGTAAATACTACATTCGCTTTCGTTCACCCTGGCCTCCTAGTATCTGAGACCGACATCACTCGCATCAAATCCAAACTCACTCAAAAACTCGATCCATGGCAAAGCTCATGGGATAAACTCACCAGCATTTCCTACGGTCAATCAAACTACACAAACAATGCTGTCGCGCGCGTTTATCGCGATGCTACTGCTGATATAACCGCCAACGCCGAGCTTCTCTGGCACGATGCTGCTGCGGCTTTCGCACTTGGGTTGCGCTGGAAAATAGAGAGGGATGCCCAGTATGCTGAAGCTGCAGCGGCCATTCTCACTGCGTGGGGAGAAAAGCTAGACAATTTTGATGATGAGGGTGTGGATGATCAATATCTTACAACAGGTTTGCAAGGTCACGAATTGGTCAATGCTGCAGAACTCATCCGAGACTATGCTCCTTTTGCGGAGAGCGGTTTGGCGACTTTCACTGCCATGTTTGAGAGGACTTTCTTGGCTAAGAATCTATATTTCCTCAACCATAGCGCTGGATCCGAACACAATGTCAAGCATTTCTTTGCCAACTGGGAACTTTGTAATATGGCCTCTGTGATGGCATTTGGTGTTTTGACAGACAATTCCACACTTTTCGATTATGCAGTCGATTATTTCAAGACTGGATCTGGAAATGGTGGAATCAACAATTGCATCTCGAATCTCGTTACCGAGCCAGAGACGGGAAAAATCATGGGACAACCCCAAGAAGCTGGACGTGATCAAGGACATACCGGTCTTGATTTTCAGTTGCTTGGCGTTCTTGCACAGCAGGCCTGGAATCAGGGCGAGGATCTGTATGGTTTCAACAATAGCAAGATTTTACTAGGGTATTTACTACCTCAGTTCACAAATATGTAGGGTTACCAAGCTAACATGCACCTCAGTGCGGAATACTACGCGCGTTACAACCTCAACAACGATGTTCCCTTTGAACCCTACACCAACGGCATAGTATCCTACACCGAAGTCAGCGACGATTCGCGCGGCTCCTACCGTCCCACATGGGAATTACTCTACGCACATTACGGACAAATCAAAGGCGTCGACGCGCCCTGGACAAAAGAATACATGAACTACACCGTCACCACGATGGGTGGTTTTGAGGGCGGAGCAGGTTCCTGGGGCGAGGGATCAGGTCATTACGATAGTCTTGGATGGGGTTCTTTACTCTATCATTTAGATCCTGAGGATATCGCTACGGCGGGTAATAATTCTCTCGCGGCTTCGAATTCTACGAGCACCACTATTGCGTCCGTTTCTGCATCGACTAGCGCCCCAAGCTCGATAGCTTCTGTGGCATATTCGAGCTCTGTTACTTCGAAAGAAGCAATTGTAATGATAATTTCAATAGCCAGTTCTGCCAGGAACTCTACAAACTGTTGTTTATTCCCAAACATCCGTTCTTGAATCCGCTTCTCCAAGTCTCACAAGCGTAAACCGTAGTTTCTACTCCAACTGTAACTGAAGAAGAAGAAGAGGATGATGATGAATGTTTTGAAATGGAGTAGATGTGGGCGCTGGTACGCCTCGTAACTGCGATCAATCGAGCCGGTTTGTATTCCATGTGTAGGTAAAATTCTTATTCTCTGTACATAAATTTTAAAAATTCACAATCATTGATTGCCCCTTTGTGTGAAATTGCACGGATTGAAGTGACTATTAGCTGTGCACCGTGTAGTAATCAAGCTCTATGTGCAAATAGTTTAGAGATAAATACTACGATAGACGAGGGTTGTTTGATTATGAGAAAAGGATAGATATTTAATTGCGTAATTGGAGAAAAATTGTATAATTGAGAGGTTGTAAATAAGAATAGAAGAAAAATTAAAATTATCAAAGAAGTGAGTTATGATATCTATTGGAAAAGCTATAGAAGCTTATAAGTTTTATTAAGTTCTTATTAAAAGTTTAATTAATAAACAAAAATTATCTTTATTAATAATAATATTTCTTATTATTAGTTTGAGTAGAATACGAGTGACGTAGAATCTAAATAGAGAGTCTAGTTGTTAATATGAACTCTATCTAATAAGCTAGCTAACTACGAAGAAAATAGCCCTTATATAAGGACTATTAAAAGAGCTAGCTTTCGCTTTCGCCTAAAATGAACTATAAAGGCCTTTGACTTTAGTCTATATTTACATACTTATTGTGCGCGGAAAGCACATACTGGTATGTGTCTCTATTTTAGCTAGTATTTATAGGTCCTCTTCGTGTAGTTTAGAAAAAGCAGGCAGTTCCTACTAACCCAACTTCCCCTATGTATTGTGAAGCGCCAGCTAGAGTCTCCCATCTCTTTCTTGGCGCTGGATAGGTTTTATTGAATCGATTTGGACCGCCGCCTTTTTCCCAATCTTCATCATCGGCCTCCCTGAAAGCCGCGGATCGGCCATATTACTTGCCAAGGCTAAAAAACTACGTCGGGAAGGAAAGGAGGCATACACGGAAGAAGGGCTACATCGAATACCATTGCATCGAGTTGTCATCAATAGCGTGCAACGGCCCTTTTATATGCTTTTCACAGACTCCATGGTTTCTGTGGCTACTCTTTGGGCTGAATTTAGTCTTGGAACAATCTATCTCTTTACCCAATCTGTCGAGCAGGTTTATGGACAACCTTATGGTTGGAACTCCCTACAAGCAGGATATATCCAAGTTGCTATTGCCGTCGGTGAGGTATTTGGATGTGGACTTTGTATGTACACCAATCGCTGGTACTACGATTCCGCTGTACGAAATACCGAAGTTCCTGGGACACCTATCCCTGAGGCTAGATTGTATCCATCAGTCATCGGAGGGTTCTTGGGTGTCACAGGTGGAATGTTTTTGTATGGGTGGACATCAGTCTCTGCCATACATTGGATGGTACCCACCATTGGACTGGCAATTGTGGGCTTTGGGACAACCGCCATCATAGTAAGCAATGCAAGCTATCTTGTCGATGCATATAGCAAGTATGCAGTAAGCGCTCTCGGAGCTGTTGGCTTGATCGAAAACGCCACCCTCGCGTTTATTCCACTTGCTTCAGCATCCATGTACACGGATCTCAGATTTCATTGGGCTAGCTCACTTCTCGCGTTCTTATCTTTAGCGCTTGTTGCTACCCCATTCGCGGTCTTCAAATGGGGTAAACAGATCAGATCTCGCAGCTCATTCATGAAGGAGACCATCATCAAGCGGCGCCACGCAGTTTTACAGCAGCCACTGCGTGTTTGAACTAAAGAATATATAGATATTGCAATCATATTGATATCAATCAATAGTGAACAGCTATTCTTATGCAGAATTGTGATAGAGGCATAATAATATTATTACTCTGTTGGGTCTGCGAGCCGAATCTTGCGAAGAAGGGAAAGAAGGGATACGAGATGGCTGGCAGGAGCGGCAGCCAAGGAGTATGATATACTTCCAACAGACCAAGCAAAGCACTTCTTTTTACGCCCAAGTAGATAGCTGCAAATAGGTACCAGACCGTTTAGTAGAGGAGGTTGCTAGTAGCTGCAAGAGGGTGAAGTGAAGGGCGAGCGATAAAGCGACTATTCCGGTATAGCAGCCTCTACGTAACCGAAAAAGAGGCGGGTATGGAATACCCTTTCAAAGAACTTCTTTAATGAATTATAAATTCATTTCAAATTGAATATTAGAATGTGAGAAGACCAAACAGAAATTGAGCATTCTTTATGTTAATAATCAGGACTATATATTTAGTATAATATTGAAAAGAGATTCAAATCATTGAAGTCCTTTCAGATAGTACTCCATTCTCACCTCTTTTTTCGATTACATAGAGCCCTTCAGACCGCTAGACCCGCATATGATATAATCAATCAATCAATCAAATCAATCCTCCTGCGTATATGAATCTTGCCTTGGGCTCTTTACATGATATTCTTCACAGGAAGTCAGGGTAAATCAATGTAAGAGACTATAGAAGCATTAATATTTACAGATAAAAGCTTCATCTTTCCCATAGAGCTAGTAAAATCACTATCGCATCTTCTTATATCACTCTTCTTATCAAGATTAGCAAACCAAACCTCGCAAGTTTCTTTAATATCCTCCGCATTTATACATTTTACACATTTGCACAATAGTACCCTTCGATACTTTTATTTATACTTCATTTTCATTAAAGATTAAGTCCCTTAGATATCGATTCTCTTATGATTAAAAAATATAATAGTAAAACTAACTTTCAAGAAGCCTGAATGAAAATGATGTGAAAGCTTAAGAAAAACACTGATTATTAAAGACTACAAATAAATATTCTATAGGCCTGATACTTGAGAAGGAAGTGAGTGAATGAAGTAAGCCATTCAACTCTTTTTAATCCTTCATGTCCCTTTCACAATCTGAATTCAAGTGCCAACTCATAATTCATAAATATCTTTCTCCCAATGCATCAGAATACCCCGAGGTATCCCTCACTTCATATCAAAGATTCTCCACAAGCCCGCGATTGGATTGATAGTCGCTTGTCTATACAAATCCTTCTTGAAAATGTTCTCTCCCAACTTCAGGTGCTCAAAATTTCTCATCTGCCAGGATTTCACCGCCATCATTCCTTGCAGTGCCTCTGGCGAAGTATCTCCTAGTAAAATTCTTCTCTCTTCTTCCGCTTTTGCTTGTTGTTGCATTCTCAAATGCATTTGTTGCCAGTTGTTATAATAAGCTTGGTCGTAATCCAAATTGGAGTATAGAAGATCAGGAGCAAAGTCTTGTGTTGCAGGTGTTGCAAGTCCATAGGAAAACTGTGGATTAGAGGAAGGATCCATTGTGTATCCGGTGCTGTATTGTGCGTTCATGTATTGATTTCCAGCAAAAGGATCATGAGCATTATTTAATACTTGGAAGTTTGTGTCCATTCCGAAATCCTGATCCCAACAACTCAACTCCAATGGATTGATATTCTTTGTGTTTGCTCTCAGAACTTCCAACATCATTCCATATCCTCCATGTCTTATTTGAGTTATTCTCTCTTGCCATGCCACACCCCAAATTCTCTCTTTGTAGGGTGATGGAACCGCTACCATCATATCTATGAACACTACTGCCGATATCGCAAGGGAACATGCGGAAAGAAATGAAGGTAGCCAATCACGTCGAGAACGAAAGTCGGAGGGAGCGAGTGCCAGGTTTTGATATTCTTTGAAAGCTCTGCGCATCGTGCTGCGAGTGGTGCGGATCTTTTCGAGGAGATTAAGAACTGGAATTGGAGCTGGTGGCATCGTTGTTGTGATAAAGCATTTGTATAATTCGCAGCATTCGATCAAAATCCTGCAAGAAGCTTCGAGAGATTTGTTCTAAATATGAACAGGTCAGAAACTTTCCTGAAATAATATGAATAAAGGTACTAACAGGTTGAAGAATAGATTCTTGGTATGTTTGAGCTATTGCCATTAGATCTGAGTATTTCTCGTCGAAGACTCCGGTTGAACGAGCCTGTTCTTGCGCTAAAACGAAATGATCTCTGAATACGGTATTGTCAAAATCGTGATCGAATGCTTTTTCGGCCCTCTCAGCCGAAAACATACGCCAAGTTTTGGTTTTTAGTGTATTCCGAGGAATAGCGCGGAGGTTTTCTTCCACATGTGCTAAGGCTTGATTAGATACTGCATGATCTAAGGATGATTGAAAGGGAAGCCGAACATGGTAATAGATATAAGACTAGGCTTTCCAAATTTTCCGTTCTCGTCCCTTGAGTGCTTGGAGCGACATTGAAGTTTGACACTCGGATGCAAGAATCACAAAATCCTGATATCAGGTGCTGCCGTGTAGTAAAGTCAGTTGAAGTTCATCAAGAGAAGCTTCCCACAATCAACAAGTGGGTGCTGCGAAAGAAAGATATGATTTACGTTTGTGTTATGCCTGCGGCATCTCCAGCAAAGTGAAGCATCACTTTCCCACCATTCGGAGCCAAATGAAGGTTTTGGAGAATCAGGAGAAGTGAATTCGCGCCGACGCTTGGCATTTGCGACCCTTCTTGGACGTGATGAGTTAGGATCCGGCGACGGGGAAGGGCTGAAAGTTTGTTTTCGTTTTCCTTTAGATAATGACGGCGGTAGTACTGGCCCTAGTTGAATTTCCAATGGTTGCGAAAACACATCAACATCACCGTACAGGAATGGGTCATTTACAACTGCCAGAGTTGTGGGATGCGTTGTAGAAGGTTGATAAGAAATCGGTCTTGATAAAGGAGATTAGCCAGAGATTCATATACCTGGGCGATGAGATACTGACTGTGCATTTTGGACTTGTTGTTCAGGATATTGTGAATGTGTAGGAGGTTGTCTAGGAGGTAGTAGCTCATCGGTTGCGGATTGTTGAGGGTGCCTTGATTGGGTCTTGATAGATTGATGAGAAGTATCTCTTTGTGTGGGTACTGGTGCTAAGTATTCAAGCGCTTCTGGTAATTGCTGAGGCGTGGGATTCTTCGTTATATTTGTAGGTTTGGCGATGGTATGTGAACCATCTAGCAGATCTAGTAAAGATTCCTCGGCCGCGGAGGATCGTTCCAAGCTATTAGGATCACGAGATGATCTCGATGTGTCAGATGCATACTGACTTTCCAGAGTGTTCACCGGTAGCGGTACTATGTATCCGAAGTCAGGGTCGTTATAGCTATTATCGTAATTCCATTGTTCAATCGTGTCGACGATGTTCTGCTGAATTGGACCCTGGAATTCTGAGTCGGTGCCAGGAGCGGGGGCGGGGATGAAAGAGTATTCATAAGGCTCGGATCGGCCTGGCATTTGTCGGCTTCCTTGACTCATAATTTGAAGCCGATATTGGTATGGAATTGATCAATAAAATGTCAATCGTACCAGAGAACCGGCTCATGGCTTCATTTAACTACTTTACGAAGTAATGCTCTGTGGATCAAAGTTGGCGATCAAGCGGACCATTAGGTTAACAAGTCCGGTTCAATTTCCGTCCGTCGACATGGATTACACCCAAAAACTAAACGGTGTCAACTCCACAAGAAGCTCGGAGTGTTAGTTGCACACTGATAGCCAATATCGCTGCAGGGGTTTCGATCAATATGATTGCTGCGATGTAATAAAAGGTCGATAAGTACCGAATGCAACCTCTATACTCGGTACAAGGAACATCCGTGATAGGTGATCTTTCGATTGATGGTAAAATATATGTCCATATACTTGTATATAAAGTTACTTATGGGGTAGGAGATCGTTCTACTGTACCTCAATCTTCCGGAGCTTACACATGAAGCTCTTGTTCAATATCTAGATGCATGAGAAGTTCTAGGCTGGGCAGAGACTCTCTAGAAGTGGCTTCCTTCTACCGAATACTATTTGTTAGTTTCGGTACTTGCGAGAGTATCGAAATCTCTGAATCGGAAGAAGAGATAAGGATAAAGCTCATGGTAAAAACAAATGGATATTCTGTTCTTTTTCCGTTTGAGTTAATGATTTTCGGTCACTCCGAATTTCTTGGCATATCACTTCCCCATAATGCTAGTCAATGTAGGTGTTCCTTTTGCCGTGTCTTGTTCCACCACCTTGAAAACCCTTCAAACGGGAAGAACACCAGAATAATAACTAGCTCCCTCCCCACTGTACCCAGATAGCTTCTTCAAAATCGATAAAGTATTTCTTTTCAAAAGTCGATATTTGACAGTTCCGTTGTCAATGGATGATGTCTCAACAACTTTCCTCATCGTATCAATATTACCTGTTCTCATATTTTCATAAAGGTTCGACACTTCTTTACCCCTTCATCAATCTTCGCAGAAGCGATAATCCGAGCAACAACTTCAAATTCTCGGTATTCGTCATTCGATTTGAAAAATCAATAATAAATGATAAAGATAAGCTCAGTTAATAGGTCCAAAACAAGGTTATCAAGCATGGTGCCTGCTCTGCTCTCTCTCTCTCTGTTGAGATCAGCTCCAGTCTCCAGAATTGGAGTCATCGTTGACATATCCCTTAACGATAGAGATAAGAATTTAATCCCGATATGCCTACAGTATTAGGCCACTTATACTTAACGAATCTCACTTTTACACCAAAATATATATATTTTATTTTAATATATTAATAGAAATATAAAATTTATAATAAATTCTTTTTAAGATATTAAAAATCTTTATTAAAAAAATATATAAATCAAATTTTTAATTTCAAATAAGAATTCTCAATTAAATAATATAAAATTGAAGTTTTTTTTTTCTTTTTTTTTGTAATTTTACTATA